CTTCTTAGGATAACCTTTTTCTGAGAAAATTACCAAAGGACATTTAAGTAAAGTAAGATCATAACCAGGAAAGAGGAAGATGTAAGTTACAAGAAGTGGTAAAACTATCTCAGGAATTCAGTGAAAATAATCCCCAGGATGACAGCCTTGTAGCTGGACCAGGAAGTATTCACTCTAAAAATTAGAGCAGGAAGTAAGTGTCTTCTGAGAAAAGCATAGTTAATAAAGAGTGGAGTAGAGTCTTTTTAACAGGTGATTCAGTTAAGAAGTGGAAGGAAGAGATCAATGATGTGATAAGTAAGGCCCATGTAAGGCTAAAAGATCATAAGAAACTCTAGAAAAAACACAAGCACAGGAAAAGTTATGATCTAAGTATTAAGTTGACTAAAATATGAGGATGATAGAATGTAAGCCAAGAATCAATTTGACTACGATGGAATAATTCATAAGAGGTATAAACATAAAATTACACAGGTAAGCAATAGAAGAACTAAAAATAGTACTACATTTCTCTAAAATTACTGAGGAGTGAGAGAGAGCTAAATATTTTAGAACAGTCAATAGAACATGTTTAAAGTTGAGTACTCCTGAGGTAATTAGCAAAAGAATAAGAATGGAAACGATTGAACACAGTTGCCTGTGAGGAGTGTAACCAAGGGTAAGGAAGTGTGAGGGAGGAAGGCTTTTGCTTTTCTTTATAAGTCTTTTTGTAGTATTTGATTATTTGTTAAATAATTTGATGGAAAAAACAATGGGAGATAAGTTAGTGGGGACAGAATTTGTAGAGCACACTCTGCTGTGATTTGATTATGAATTGCTAGAGAGAGGATGTAAAATCAAGGATTTGTCTCTCCCTTCTTCCTTTCATCATTTACGATGGAAGCTATTGCAGCATGGTGTGGTCTTGAAGGTGATGTTCCAGTATAGCAATGGTTCTCAAAGTGTAGTCCCTAGAGCAGCAGCAGCAACACTTAGGAATTTATAGGAATGTACATTGTTGGGCCCCGTCCAATATCTACTGATTCAGAAATTTTAGAGGTGGGGCTCAGGCCATCTGTGTTTTAACAAGCTGTCCAGGTGTTTCTGATATTTGCTAGAATATTTATGCAGTAGAGGATTATGTAAAACATAATATGCTGTAAATTTCACTAATTGTGTATATTTTCCCAGATACCCAATTTAAAATATTTGTGTTTGTTTGTGTAGGTCGGATGCTGAAACAAAAAGGGCTTTGGAAGAATTGACTGAAAAACTTCATGTCCAGAGACAAGAAGTGGTAAGAACTCTTTGTTTATAAAAAATTTTATTTGATATGTGGATAGTAGAGAAGGTGGCCGGGCTGATCATAATCACAGTGAAGTTTGGTACATTTAACTTTTTGAGTGGCGTATGCCACTTTGTCTAAAAATATGTTCTTACACTCTTTTACCAAATATTCATGAAATAAGTTTGAGATATCACATCGGTGGTATGTTAGAGATAGAATTGTCATTGATTTTAATTTTTAAAGTTTTATTATGACTATTTGGAAGATAGTTTAAATGTTACTGCTTCGGTGATTCTTCTGCTATAGTTTTTGTTAAATGATATTTGAAAACAGAATTTTTTTGTACTGCTCCATTTTACTCCTCACTGAGTAGTTTCAGGTCATCTCACACAAGTGTGGAATCACAGTTGCTACAAGGATCTCTTTGCTGTCTTGGGCTTATTTGGTATGGTGCCAGTTTAAAATACCCTTAATTCTCATGTTTTATTTTTTCAAACTCAGGTCATTGACTTATTATTCAGTGATCTATTTTTATCATATCAATATCCTTGATGGAAGTAAGGTAAAA